CTGAAAGGAGATCTTGTGGACTTATTAGAATACCAGTTGATGGAGTAGCCAAAATGAACAAAGACCAAGAATTTAATCCAATAGCATTACTGGAATCCTGACTAGACAAAGGATGTCAAGTATCATGTTTAAGACTGTAATAGGTGGCAGGATATAAAAAGACCCTGACACAAGTACCCATGACAAAAGATATGGCTCCTACAACTATTGGAACAATGTGCTGTGGTCAAGAATCGATGACAACAGATTTAATCCCCTTGTAGTGGCATATCACCAAACTCATGACAGTAGAACATTTCTCAAAAATACGACATTTAATCCTGCAGTACAAACTGCCATCCACTCCATAGACAGATAGGCATATTTTAAACAAGGCTATTCAAGGGGGGCGGAGCCAAGATGACGGAGTGAAAGCAGTGACTTGCTTGAGCTCTCCCCAAACCCCTCCAAATACTCATAAAAAATGGCTCTAAACAAATTCTGAAGCAGCAGAACCCACAAAAAGACAGAGTGAAACAAATTTCCAGCCCAAGACAACCTGGAAGATTGATCAGAAAGGTGTATCGCGCCGGGCTGGGAGCGCAGCGCAGCATGGCATGGGCGCGCAGGACGCAGCAAACCTGGAGCAGGCCTCAGAGGACTGAATCGTAGGCAGCTGTGGTGGTTTCCAGACTCCTCAATCCATGAATGCCAAAGACAACTTAGAAGGTCAGTAGGAAAAGTCTGTTTCTGTCGGTGCTCAGAGAGGAAGGCGGGGTTTCATCTCCATTCCCCAAGAGAGCGGCCAGGGGGGGGGGGGGGGGGCTTCCCGAGCTTCCGGGCCACAGACTGAGGGGGAGTCCAGTGGCTGATCAGAGAGGGATTGCAGGGATCTCTTTGCCAGTGCTGAGGCAGGAATCTCTTGCTTTGTCGGTTGGATCTGGGTCACAGTTCTGGGTGGTGGTGCTGGGGTGAGGAGTGCTGGAGTGGTGAGTATGTAGTGGCTGTGGAGAGGAGCCCCTCCTCACAGTTACAGGACAGAAAAGAGTACTTATGATCACAGGCCAGGAAAGGAGTAAACACCTCGCCCCTTATCATACCACCTTGGAAGAACTAAAAATTTACAGGTCCCTACAAGTATCTCTGAAAACAGCTATACAAACCCCCAAAGCTTGGGACAGTACATTCTCCACATTGGAAGCAGACTCTTACCTTAACAAAGAGTTTAAAACTCAAGTAATTGGCCAGGATCATGAGCAAGCAGCGCAAAAAGAGTCAGACTATATTATCTTACTTTGGTGAAAAAGAAGATCAAAATACAACCAGAAGAAGACAACAAAGTCAAAGCTCCTACATCCAAAGCCTCTAAGAAAAATATGAATCAGTCCCAGGCCTTGGAAGAGCTCAAAAGGGATTTTGAGAAGCAAGTAAGGGAAGTAGAGGAAAAACTGGGAAGAGAAATGACAGTGATGCAAGAAAATCATGAAAAACAAGTCAACAGCTTGCTAAAGGAGACCCAAAAAAATACTGAAGAAATAACACCTTAAAAAATAGCCTAACCCAAATGGCAAAAGAGGTCCAAAAAGCCAATGAGGAAAAAATGCCCTAAAAAGAAAATTGGCCAAATGGAAAAGGAAGTCCAAAAGCTTACTGAAGAAAATACTTCCTTAAAAATTAGAATAGAGCAATTGGAAGCTAGTGACTTTATGAGAAATCAAGACACTGTAAAACAAATCCAAAAGAATGAAAAATTAGAAAACAATGTGAAATATCTCATTGGAAAAACAACTGACCTGGAAAATAGATCCAGGAGAGAATTTAAAAATTATTGGACTATCTGAAAGCCATGATCAAAAAAAGAGCCTAGACATCATCTTTCAAGAAATTATCAAGGAAAACTGCCCTGATATAGTAGAACCAGAGGGCAAAATAGAAATTGAAAGAATCCACAGATCTCCTCCTGAAAGAGATCCCCAAAGGAAAACTCCTAGGAATATTGTAGCCAAATTCCAGAGTTCCCAGGTCAAGGAGAAAATATTACAAGCTGCCAGAAGGAAACAATTCAAGTACTGTGGAAACACAATCAGGATAACACAAGATTTGGCAGCTTCTACATTAAAGGACTGCAGGGCATGGAATATTATATTCCGGAGGGCAAAAGAGATAGGATTACAACCAAGAATCACCTACCCAGCAAAACTGAGTATAATCCTTCAGGGGAAAAAATGGTCATTCAGTGAAACAGAGGACTTTCAAGCATTCCTGATGAAAAGACCAGAACTAAACAGAAAATTTGACTTTCAAATACAGGACTCAAGTGGAACATGAAGAGGTAAACAGGAAAGAGAAATCATAAGAGACTTATTAAGATTGAACTGTTTACATTCCTGCATGGAAAGATGATATTTATAACTCATGAGACCTTTGTCAGTATTAGGGTAGTTGAAGGAAAAAAATTATATGTATGTATGTAGATAGATAGATAGATAGATAGATAGATAGATAGATAGATAGATAGATAGATAGATAGATGGCACAGAGTGAATTGAAGATTGCGGGGTCATATCTGCAGAATAAAATTAAGGGATGAGAGAGGATGATACTCAGAGAAGAAGAAAGGGAGAGGTAAAATGGGGTAAATTATCTCACAAAAAAAAACAGAAAAGTCTTTACAGTGGAGGGGGAGCAGGGGAAGGTGAGAGGGAATGAGGAATCTTATTCTCATAGGATTTGGCTTAAGGAGGGAATAACATACACATTCAATTGGGTATGGAAATCTGTCTTACCCTACAGGAAAATAGGGGGAGAAGGGGACAAGAGAGCAGGGGGATGATAGAGAGGAGGGCAGATTGGGAAAGGGGTAATCAGAAGGAAATACTTCTGAGGAGGGACAGGGTCAAAAGAAAGAATAGAATAAATGGGAGGGCAGGATAGGATTAAGGGAAATAGAGTTAGTTTTTCACAACATGTCTACTATGGAAGTGTTTTGCATAATTGCACATGTATAACCTATATTGAGTTGTTTGCCTTTTCAGTGAAGGTGGGTGGGGAGTGAGGAAGAGAGAAAATTTGAAACCTGAAGTTTTAAAAACATATGTTTAAAGAAAAATGTTTTCATATGCTACTGGGAAATAAGAAATACAGGAGATGGGGTACAGAAGTTTATCCTGCCCTACAGGAAAATAGAATGGGAAGGGGATAAGAGAAGGGGAGAGAGATAGAAGAGAGGACAGACTAGGGGAAGGGGTATTAAGAATGCATGCCATCTTGGGGTGGGGCGGTGAGATGGGGCAAAAATCTGGAACTCAAAAACTTGTGGAAGTGAATGTTGAAAACTAAAAATAAATAAATTTATATTTAAAAAAAAAGAGAAAAATCCAAAAATAAATAAATAAATAAACAAGGCTATTCATAGACATGAGCTTATACATGCCCCACAGAAGTGATGCCACCTGCTGTCCAACACCCAACCACAAGGCTATTCATATACATGAGACAGAGACCTACAACCCCTCTCTGAATCCCCATCCTGGAAGACAACACATGAAACAAAGGATAAAAAGGAAAGAGAGGGAGTAGTTTCACTCACCCAACCAACACATCAATCAAGGCTGAGAGTGTATGCAATATTTCACATCCCTAGTCCTTCACCTCTACCAAATGAAATTACTTTTAAACAGTTTTCCTTCTAACAAAATATTTCTTCAAGTGTCTTTTAATGAATGCCTACTTTGCAAAAACCAGTGACATTGCATAGGCTTTATTATGCATCTGATTTTTAGAATCTGATTCTGGAAAGATAATATGTTCCTGTATTTAGACTAGTCTCTATAATAGTTAACAAATGACATTAAATTAGTTACATCATTAAAATACTTTTTGGTAGTGAGATTTTATTTTAAGACATACTATGGTAGAAATTGCATGGCTGGTCTGTATTAAAGCTAAAAAACCTGAGAGTCAATTTCTTTATTGTGAATAAGGTCATTGAAAATAATAAGTATTTAATAGAATCTTATTAATTTCAACGTATTTTTAGTGCCCAATATATAGAACTCATAGCACCTCAATCATTGTTATTGGCTTTAAAGGCTCTTGCTCAAGGCTCTTAGACTTGTGTGTCTGTGTATTATTTGGAATGGGTAGGTGACTTGAGAGTTTATGCTTTTAGTGTGGGAAGTACAGCTAGGTAGTGCAGTGGATAGAGTGCATTCATTCCTGAGTCCAAATCTGGCCTCAGACACTTACTACCTTTGTGACCCTGAGCAAGTCAATTAACCCTGTTTGCCTCATTTCCTCATCTGTAAAATGAGCTGGAGAAGGAAATGGCAAACGACTCCAATATCTTTGCCAAGAAAACCCCAAATGGGGTATTGAAGGATTATACATGACTGAAATAACTTAACAACAATAACAAAACATGGGGAAAGGTTGAAATACTTGATGCAGGCTACAGGACCAGAGTTGCAATATGACTGGGGAAAGATAAGGAAGGTTGCAGACTAATTATTTCTTTGTGAGAAAAAAAAAACTATAAACATTCCTTCTTCCCTGCCTGTAGTTTGCATGCCATTTAGTCATGTACCTTCATCAGAGATAGCACTGATTACATTAGTTAGCACTAGAAATTGTATTTGTTACCTTGGAATGTTCCCTATAGTGAGATTTAAACATCATGGGCTATCTGCTTTATTTTATAGGAACCTTCTGGTTAATTAGATTGTATCTATTGCAGAACGATTTCTCAAACACACCTTTTTTTTTTTTAACAAGGCAATTGGGGTTAAGTGACTTGCCCAGGGTCACACAGTTAATAAGTGTCAAGTGTCTGAGGCCAGATTTGAACTCAGGTGGTCCTGACTTCAGGGCCAGTGCTCTCTCTGCTGCATCACCTAGCTGCCCCTTCAAACACAACTTCACATAGACATTCTTTCTCGAGTCTCAGATATAAGTTGTCAGTACAGAAAAAAAACATTTAAATTTAGTATGTGTGTATGTACATATTTACAAATGTATCACCTTTAATCAGTGAAATGCTTTCGGCTCAGCAAATTCTTTACAGCTGCCTTTACATCCTTGTTCCTCAGACTATAAATGATAGGATTGAGCATGGGTGTTACCACACCATAAAAGAGGGAGATAAGTTTGTCTGCAATGTCTTCTTTATCTGCTCCCAGAGAGTCCTTAGATTTGGGTTTCCCGTACATGAAAAAGATTGTTCCATAAAAGATAATGACCACAGTCAGGTGAGCTGAGCAGGTGGAAAAGGCTTTGCTTCTCCCCTCTGCTGAAGGGATCCTCGGGGGTGAGGATGAAAACATAAGACATAAAAATGAACAGCACTGGGAAAACTAGAAAAATTATGTTAGTCACTATCATGCTAATTACATTGATTGAGATATCACCACAAGCCACTTTCAGTAGTGCCAGGATTTCACATGTGAAATGGTTGATGACATTATCTCCACAAAAGGGCAATCTCATTGCAAGAGAAGTTTGCCCCACAGAAGTAATGCCACCTGCTGTCCAGCACCCAACCACCATGGACACATATGTTTTTTTGTTCATGATGTTAGGGTATCTCAGGGGGTTGCAGATGGCCACATAGCGGTCAAATGCCATCATGCTCAGGAGCACACATTCAGTCACTCCCATGGCAAAGGATAGAAACATCTGTACTGCACAGCCAGAGAAGGCAATGGTTTTCTTTAGAGCGAGGAAGCTATCTAAAATTAGGGGCACAGAGGAGGTTGTATAGCAAATGTCCAGGAAGGAGAGGTTACCAAGGAAGAAGTACATGGGTGTGTGGAGGTGGGAGTCATAGACGGTAACTGTAATGAGAACTCCATTACCCACGAGGATTACCAGGTACATCCACAGGACCAGCACAAAGAAAATGGTCTCTAACTTTGGGTGTCCAGAAAGCCCCAGCAGGACAAAGTCTGTTACAGTGGTCTGATTGTTCCCGTCCATTTTTTAAGAACTCACTCATTTACAAGGATTCTGAGGACAGAGCAAAATGGTTTTGTTACAGAAGAACCACAAAGTATTACATCTTTTATAAGTTCAAATTTCTGATGCTTAATTGGAAAAATGTGTTTGAATAAGGATAGGAGCTAGGAAATTCCTTCTATCACTGCAGGTCAGCACCTTGTCTATGACTTTTAGTCCTAGAACTTTGCCTAAAGTACTGAATGGGTAAATGACTTGCCTAGGATCACATAGCTAGTGTGAGCTAGAGGTAGGATTTGAATCCAGGTCTTTGTGGTTTTGAGACCAACTCTCTATATTACACACCATGTTCTTTCTCATGTTTTTGAATAAAAGAGTATGCTACAAAGACAGGTTAATTCTCTTGGTATAACATCACCATAATCAGAAAAACCCTCTTAGAAATCCTAGAAAAGAATTCTTTGAATCTAAAAATTTACCTATTTCTTAGAAAACCATGTTATGATTTACACACTATAAATGAATCTGAATTGTCACATTTGCATTTTCAATTATTTATACACTCATTATTTAATGGATTGATCGTTATTTAAATGTGACATTAATCAAGCAATAAACTTTTATTGTTTACTATGTGTCAGTCACTGCGCTAAGTGCAGGGGATACAAAGAGAAAAATGAAACAGTTCCTGCCTTCAAAGAGCTTACTGTCTAATGGGGGGAACAATATGTCTGTAGATTCATCTGTGCAGAATACATACAATGTGAATCCAAGGTATTTTAGGGACTGGGTGCACTAGCAGCTTGGAGGTTCAAAAAGAAATTCGTGAAAAAGATAGCTTTTGGGGCAGCTAGGTGGTGCAAGTGGATAGAGCTCTGGCCTTGTGGTCAGGCAAAACCTGAGTTCATATCCGGCCTCAGACACATGACACTTACTAGCTGTGTGACCCTGGGCAAGTCACTTAACCCCGATCGCCTCATCAAAAAAAGAAAAAAAAGAAAAAGATAGTTTTTGAGCTGAGTCTTAAAGAACTAATGAAGTTAATTAATGGAGTAATGGAGTTAAGGGGAAATGGGGGAATAACCAGTTCGAAAACGCAGAGACAGGAGACGGATTCTGTGCAGAATGGGGAGTTCCAGTCTGGCAAGAAAGCAAAGCACCAGGAGGGGAGTAAATGCAAGAAGGTTATAAAAGTGAGAAGAGGCCAGGATATGAAGATCTTTAAGCATCAAACAGGAGTTTCTATTTGATATTAAAAGCAGTGGGGAGTCACTGTAGTTTATTGAGCAGGGGAGTGATATGATCAGACGTAAACTTTTAGAAAATTTCCTTGGCAGCTGGCAGATCAACAATACTGATCCTCAACGGTTAAAATAGAGACAATCCCCAGTAAATATAAAACTCAAGGTCAGTTCTCTGTAATGTTTCTTATATTCCAAGTTCCAGATCCATTCTCCAAAGAATTAGCTATTGGATTCACATGGCAATGAAAAACTCCTTGTTGTTTTAATGCAAAGTTCTAATCCCTAAATCTCTTTTACAGAGGAGAGAAACTTGATAGAGGGAGGCCAAAAAGAAGCTGTTTTAGCAGTCCAACTAAGGGATAATGAGGGCCTGGATTAATAAACTAAGGGAATGGGTGGTATAATAGATGGAGCTCAAATTATGGAGTGAAATGTCCTGGTTTCAAATGCTGGTTCTGCTCACTCTTTCCTGTGTGACCTTGGGCGAGTCATTTCTGCAATTTCCTCCTATATAAAATGACAGGTTAGGCCAGATAATCTTACAAATTCTAAATGCTATGATCCATTATTGTACAATGTTTTGAAATCTTGGCCAATGCAATTGTATTTTGCCAACATATATTTTCTGCTCATAACGTCTCATAGGCATTGACAACAGAACAGTACAATTCTTGTGATAATAGGTCATATAAATCACACAGAATCAAAGAATACATTCCTCCATCACTGAGTCTGAATGACCCGCATTAAGTCAGTCTCTGAAAAATACTGAGTGGTAAGATAGAATTGGAACCAGAGACAACTATGAGTTAAGGCTCGGCCATGGACTATCTGGGGGTTCTTGAGTAGGTAGAAGTGAATGAGCCTCTGTTTTGTATACAGTTGGGTGTCAAAAATTATGTAATTACATACAATTATGTAATTTATTCTTCTAACATCAGACTGTTGGCAGACTCAAATGAGATCATGGTTTTAAAAGCACTTTATAAAGTGTAAAACATTACATACATTTAACTCATTCTTACTGAGGGCTTAGTTTTCTTATTAGCTAGAAAATTGCTATCATTCCTTTTTTTTTTTTGAAAGAATATCACAACCTCTGATTTCAATAATGCAGGAAATTTGCAGTGCGGAAACTCCCTCTATCAATGCTGATCATCAAGTCTTCTGAGAAATATATTCTTGGAGTGACACTTGGGGCTTTAAAACGTTAAGTAGCTTGTCTGAAGTCACCAGCTACTCTGTGACAGAGGCAAGACTTGAACATAGGTTTTCCCTGATTCTGAGACTTGAACCCTATTTACTATGCAAAACTATCTATTGTCATAAGCACTTTTAGTAGATAGATAGATAGATAGATAGATAGATAGATAGATAGATAGATAGATAGATAGATAAATAGATATGATTAATAAAATGTTCTTTGCAAAAGTTAGGCACATTTAGAAATAATGTTTGTCCATTTTCCGTATCAATCAGGTTTAATCTGGTTCATTTCCAGGTTAATCCAGAGCATCAATAATATTTGTAATTTTAAATAAAATAATTAAAAGGACCCATGTCTTTGGAAAGAATTTTGGTCTTCTCACTTTCTTAATATATCTCTTGTTAATGTAGTTAGGTAACCATAGCAAGTAGAAATACAATGAATGCATCAGCTTAAATGTCTAGCAGCAGGAGACTTGGTCAGCATAGGCTGACCACAAATCTCAAACTACATATGGTCTACCTATAAACACACAAACCCATAAAACTCTACTTAATTACAGAAGATTCAGTATTTTTTTAAAAATGTCCTTTTACCTCCAAATCTGAAAAATGACTTATTTTTGCTCAGAAGTAGGTTTCTACTTGACTTCCAGTTTCTCTGATACTCCGAATGATGAAACTATTGCCCCCAAGTATGTGAGCTTGGATGATGTGGGATAAAAATCTGTGATCATTATTTTCTTCAAGTTTCACTGAAAAAGGGGTATTTGTCTAGAAAGTGTGAAATGTGGCTATAGAGGAAACCATCTGAAATTTTCAAATTCTTAGGCTCTTGAATGTTCTCTCTTCATTTTCAGTGTCAATGAGATAAGAAAATATCAATGTAGCAAGATATGAATATCAGGCATATCAACAATACTGTTCCCAAATGGCTAAAATAGACAATCCCCAGTAAAAATAAAGCTCAAGGCCAGTTCTCTGTAGTGTTTCTCATATTCCAAGTGCCAGATCCATTCTCCAAAGAATTAGCTATTGGATTCACAAGGCAATTAAAAACCCCTTGTTGTTTTAATGCAAAGTTCTAATCCCTGAAGCAATTTAAAGTATACAAGGGGAAGTATGGAAGATTTTGAAACATTCTGATGCTTTAGGGATGATGTCCCACACACCCAATTAAAAAGATATTATTACTACACTCTAATTCTAATTGAAGTGTAACACATACACACACACACACACACACACACACACAATGCATACATGTATACACATACTACTCTCCTCTCAATAAAACTCTTGGAAAATGGAAGTGTTGTGTAATTTTTAGTGACATCAGGACCAAGGACTGGAACTAGCATAGAACAGCATGGGCTTTGTCACAAGTACTGACATTGGTGAAGGAAAGAGAGTACCTTCTGTCAGCCCAAAGGTCCCCATGATCCCTTGGTCACCAAGGTCCTTTCTCAGGTCCACCTTCTAGTTGGAGCAGACTACCACAGGCATGTGGTCTGGTTTGGGAACTCTTGCCACATGAGACTTAAGGAAACAGCATGGGATTAGCAGGGCAGGGATGGGAAGAGTTATTGAAATCAGAAGAAAGGAATACACATTGGTCACTACCCTTCCCCCATAGTAAACTTAGTCCTAGCCCACCCCTATTCCTATCCTCCTCTTCCCTCCCTTTCCATTGTGCAGTCTGGAATGGTCATTTTGTAGAACTCCCATTTCATCCTAGATTTCTACTTCTTATATCCTTCTATCTTCTATTACTCATTGAAACCTAGCTTCCACCTGAAAACAATACATCTTTTAGCTCCCTCTGAATGGCCAGCTGTTCCTTCTCTCATACCCCTTGATGCAAAAAATTCGGATGGAGAATCGGATTGCATATTCTCTAGTGCCATTTATAAATGCTCACTCTGCCACCATAAATGGTCAAGCTCACTGTCCCCCTTTAATAAGAACTAGCATTTATATAGCACTTTAAGGTTTGAAAAGCATTATATATAATCTCAGTTGATCCTCACAATAACCCTGTGAGGTTATTATCCCCATTTAACAGAGGAGGAGGAAACTGAGGCAGTCAGATATTAAGTGGCTTGCCCAAGGTCACACTGCTAATAAATGTCTGAGGTAAAATAAACGAATTCAAGTCTCCTTAATTTCAGTTCCAGCACTCTATCCAATATACCATCTAGCTGCCATGGTTCACTCTATCCATATCCTTTTATCCATCTCCTTATTGTTCTTATCTCTTAACACTCTTCTTTCTCCCCAATAACTAATACCTAATTTACAGTCTTTTCCATAGCAGCCTCTTCTACTTGGAAAATCCTGGCCTCCTACTTCTATAACCTTCCCAGATTCCATGGCCTTTGTCTTTAGTCTATCTCAAGTACACACAAAAGTTTTCATACCTCAGTTAGACTAAGATTCTGCCACTTACCAGTTGTGTAATCATAGAGAAGTTACTTCATTTCACAGTCTGTATGTTGGGAACAAAGGCTTTGTAAGAAACCATGAGTTTGTTGTAGCAATCAAAGGTGAAAATGGATGTGAAAGCAGCTCCCTATGAATGTGAGATACTATTTTTATTATAAAATAAACCATAATGATCTCTCCATTTTGTAGGATTCCTAGTTCAAGTGCCATATTCAAAATGAGACCTTTTCCAATCCTGTCCCACAGCTCCTACTGCCTCACCACTGCCATAAAAAAATATTGAATTAAATATTGAATGTATTTCTCATATATGTTGTATTATATATCTTGATTGAATGTGAGCTGTCTCAATTCCCATATCCAGTTACTACATCTTTTATATTTTACTTCCTAAATATCTCTTATATCTGCCTTATGTTTATATACCACTTATGTTTATATACCACTACCCTAATTCAGACCCTAATTGTCCCTCATCTAGATAAAAGCGATAGCCCAATTGGTCTCTCTACCTCAAGTCTTCCTCCTTTTCAACCCATTCTCCAAATAGTTGTCTCAAACTGATAGTCCTAAAACACAATTCTGACAATATGAATGCCTTCCTTTAACCAGTATAATATAGTTTTGGTAATTAGCCCTTTATTGTCATAATTTGAGATTTTGTGAGGAAATCTTCACACCTTTTTTACTCCCCCCCAACAATGTCACTTGAGACCTCTGCATAGTTTCATTTTTATATATGAATTTTGTTATAATTTTATCTAATGAATTATTCCATTGATGCTTGCTTTGCAATTTTATTAAATGCATATTAATTTCAACAGTTTTTTTTTATCTTTCCATTAAGTCCCTGTATTCTCAAAAGGCATGTCAGCAGATTTATATTTATGTCAGGTTCAACATATGTGGGAAGATTTTTCATTTGATCCCAATGTTAAGTAATCTTTTAGTCAAGAAACATTTATTAAGCAACTACAGAGTACATGAGTTAGACATAAAGAATAACATCATAAGCAATTAGTGGAGCATGGGAAAAAATATCTGCTGGATCAATTGATAGGAGAAGAGTCTATGACCAAACAAGACAGAGAGATAAGTGGGTAATTTCGAATACGTAAAATTAAAAAGTTTTTGCACAAACAAAATCAATGCAGCTTAAATTAGAAGGAAAACAGAAAACTAGAAAAAACATTTTTGCAACAAGTTTTTCTGGCAAAGGTCTCATTTCTAAGATGCCCAGAAAATTGAGTCAAACTTGCAAGAATAAAAGCCACTTTCCAATTGATAGTTGAAGGATATGATAAGCAACATTCAGAGGAAGAAATACAAATTCTTAAAGGATATGAGGGGAAATGCTCTAAATCACTAATAACTAGAAAAATTCAAGTTAAAACAACTCTGAAGTACCATCTCACACCAATATATTGACTAAGATTACCAAAAAAAAATTACGAATGTTGGAAAGAATGTGTGAAAATAGGTACACTAAGGTAGAGCTGTGAAACATTCCGCAAAGCAATTTGCAACTATGTCCCAAAAACTATTAAACTGTGTATACTTTTTGATCCAGTGATGCTACTACAAGCTCTATACCCCAAAATTATCGAAGGAAAAGGAGTCATATGTACGAAAATATTGGTAGTAGTTCTTTTTCAATGACAAAGAATTGGAAACTGAAAGGTTGCCCATCATTTGGGGAACAGCTGAAAACGATAACCATGAGACCCTCACCCCTCTCCACACCAGTGCCATCAAATGAACTGGATCACATGCCCTAAATCTCCAGGTATGTCACTTGGAGCCTTCTTACAGACAGACCCGTTGCCAAAGGACTTTTGAAACCAGTAGTTTCTGGTTCACTCCATATGTCTCCCCTGCTTCCATACTGGGTCGCAGAGGACTGGGGACTAAGCATCAAGGTGTGTGCACTCAGTTGACATTTAAAGGAGTATAGTATTTTTCTCAAAGCCATATTCTGAATCTTTGATATTGTAACATGAACTGCCACTGTTTTCTTAGCTTTAGGTTCATTATACTGAGTTCTAGGCAAGTAATAGTCCTATAAATGGATCATTATAATTGTTTCTGTTACCTTTGTAGGACCATTTGGATGCAGAGGAGACTCCAGGGTTCACAAAGGGAGGTTTCATTATAAAGATTACCAGAAGTCTTGCTAACATAGACATAACTCTATGGGTCTCTCCCAGAAGGTTAACCTTTAAAAAGTCAACCAGGGAAGCTCCGCATCTGTGGCTGTGTCTGAGTCTGTGTGCTTTCATTAATTGAGTATTCCATGTGCTGTCCCAATGCTTCATTCCTCTCTGAGGCCTTGAGCTCAACCTCCTGATATTAGGGGAATAGTTGATGGTAACACCTTACTGACTCAGCCCCGGCTAATATCACATGAGACACTGCTTCATGAACCTCAGAAGTGACTTGAAAACACACTATACAGTAGCATCATTATCAGCAGGATCCCAGTCTTCCACTTTCTCATTTCATTAGAGAGCTTGGCCTGCATTTTTTTTTTGAGCAATTAGGGTTAAGTGACTTGCCCAGAGTCATACAGCTAGTAAGTGTTATGTGTCTGAGACCATATCTGAACTCAGGTCTTCCTGACCCCAGGGCTGGTGCTCTATCCACTGCACCACCTAGCTACCTCCTGCATTTTCATAATGCATGAGTTGCAGGAATAATATTACCACAAAATAAAAATCAATGAATATGAAAAATTCAGAAAAGCGTAAAACATTTATATGAACTGATGCCACGTAAAGTAAGCAAACTCTGGAAAAAAATTTACACACAACTACAGCAATGTAAATGGAAAGAATAATAAAAATAAATGAAACTGCAAGTTGTGCAATTATAATGACATAGACCCTAGAGAATAAACGAGAAAACGAACATAACTCTTTGCTTTGTAGAAATAGGAGACCATGAACAAATAACATTACGTATACACTCAGAACTTCTTTTCTCTTTTTTTTTTAGGCAATTGGAGTTAAGTGACTTGCCCAGGGTCACACAGCTAGTGTCAAATGTTAGGTCTGAGGCCAGATTTGAACTCAGGTCCCCTGACTTCAGGGCCAGTGCTCTATCCATTACACCACTTAGCTGCCCCATCCTATTTTTTTTTTTACAAATTATTTCTGTTTGAGTAGGGAAAACTTGAAAGTGAAAGTCATATGCAAATCAAGCATATCAATAATAAAGGAGAAAAGGTATGGCTGACAAATATATATATGTATATTAGTAGTAGTAGTATATTTTTATTATTATTATCTCCAATACATGGTAGAAAGAAGGATAGAATAGGTAGCTAGATGGATCTGGTTGGATTAGACATGGCTAGAAATCAGTTGATATTTTGGTTTCCATAGCCTGAGAAAAAAGGAGCTCAGGCCACTGTAGACATCACATTCATGAAATCCTACTGCTAACTGTTTAGGCTATCTATAATTACTGATTTGAAAATTTAAGGCATGTTTCTGTCCTTTGTTATGAGAGCAACTGAGTTTGTACTCCTGAGCATTATGGCATTTGATCACTATGTGACTATCTGCAATCCCTTCAGATGCCCCAGGATCATGACATTTAAATGTCAACGGCTGCTGGATCCTGAACACCAGAGGGCATCACCTCTATAATACACATCTTTCTTGAAATGAAATTGCCTTTTTATGAAGATAATGCTATCAATCATTTCACATGTGAAATCCTGACTACTTTGAAATGGGCCCATGTAGATATGTAGATATCTTACTCAATGTGATTAGCCTCCCTCACTTGTGTGTCTATCCTTCCTCCAAAAAGCCAAAACCTGTTTAAAAGAAAAGAAAAGAAAGTTAATAAAAGGAACCAATAAATCAACTGTAGTTGACATTATATAACATATTCCACACTCAGAATATTTTCAGAGAGGACAATGAATTTTCTCAACTCTTTGCCTGGTCAAGTTTGGTCATTATAATTCCAATGTTCCATTTCTATTTTTCCTTTTCACTGGCATTGTTGTAATCATTATTTATGGGGTTTTACTGGCCCTACTTACTTCATTTTGGATCAATTTATATGTCTGCTCCTTCTGTGAATTCATCACACTTGTAGGTTCTGATGGCATAAAAATATTCCATTATATTCAGATACCACCATTTATTTAGTTATTCCTCAAAGTATGAGCAATCAATCCCATTCTCCTGTAATTTATTTTTAGTTATGTAATATTTCACCTTTAAAATACATAGAAAAATTACTTTTAAAGAACCTTCCTTTTAACAAATTGTTTCTTTAGGTACCACAGATTTGAAACCTCTAGTCAAATAATATTAATGAATGTCTAATTGGAACACAACTACTTTTCATGATTTTATCATATATTTGATTTTCAGTCTTTAATTCTAAAAGTATCATACATTTCTGTCATCTGACAGTTTTCATAGTAGTTAACATTCAAATGCCATTGAAATAAATTACATAAGACAAAAATTTTATTGAGATTTTACTTCAATGCATACAATATTAATATTCTGTATCTACATGGCTCAAAGATAGAAAAGAGTTCACAGAAAATTTCTCTTTGGTGAATTAAGTAGTTGAAAAGAAAATTTTGTAGAAGTTCTAATTTAGTTCTAATCTAGTAATGTAAGTTCTAATTAGGACACTAAGAACCTACTATATACTAGGTATAAGGTAGAATTCTTTCTCTTTCAGAGTTCAACTTTCTTGGTTCTCTTTCCATTCCAAGTTTTCTTGCTCAAAGCTCCCAGACTCATGTGCCTTACTGCTATTTAGGTTAACTAAGTGGCTTTAAATATTACCCAGACTTTTATATTGGTCAGGCTAGAATAACTGAAGCAGGCAGCAAGAATATAACTGAAAAATAATGAGCAAAGAAAAAGGTAGTTGAAGATGAATTATTTCTTCAGGGTCAATAATAGAACAGTAAAGCTTATTATTATTATCTGTACTTGGTATATCAGACAAATGTGTACCTCCATGACAAAGTACTTCTTACATTAGCTGGCTTTAGAGACTGAGTTCGTTGTCTGAAATAGCAGTTATAACTAGTGCTAAATAAAATAGGTTCTTTGTTTTGTTACATAGAACCTTTCTGTTTAAATATTTCTCAAGCTCATCTTTGTATGTATGTTCTTTCCTTCCCAAGGATTGTCTGAATTCAATCAGCAAAGAGCTTTTGACCCATCAAATTCTTCACTGCTGTCTTCACATCTTTGTTCCGCAGGCTGCAGATCAAGGGATTGAGCATGGGAGTCACAACACCATAGAACAGGGAGATGAACTTGTCTGTAATATCTTCTTTGCTTACTCCAAGAGAGTTCTTAGATTTGGGTTTCACATACATGAAAAAGATTGTTCCATAGAATACAATCACCACAGTCAGGTGGGCTGAGCAGGTGGAAAAGGCTTTGCGTCTTCCCTCTGCTGAAGGGATCCTCAATATTGAGGAGAGGATGAAAATGTAAGAAATAAAAATGAACAGCACTGGGAAAACCAGAAAAATTACATCAGCAACTGTCATGCTAATCACATTAGGTAAGATATCTGCACAGGCCAATTTGAGGACGGCCAGGATTTCACATGTGAAATGATTGATGACATTATCTCCACAAAAGGTCAATTTCATTGCAAGAGAGGTTTGTACTGTAGAGGTAATGCCTCCTGCTATCCATGACCCAGCAGCCATTGACACATAAGTATCCTTGTTCATGATGTTAGGGTATCTCAGGGGCTTGCAGATGGCCACATAGCGGTCAAATGCCATCGTGCTCAGGAGCACACATTCAGTTGCTCCCATTGCAAAGGACAGAAACATTTGTACTGCACAGCCAGAAAAGGATATTATTTTCCTTGGGGTGAGGAAACTGTCTAGAATTAGGGGCACAGAAGACGTTGTGTAGCAAATGTCCAGGAAGGAGAGGTTGCCAAGGAAGAAGTACATGGGTGTGTGCAGGTGGGAGTCATAGATAGTTACTATGATAAGGATACCATTGCCCAGAAGGATTACCAGGTACATCCACAGCACCAGAACAAAGAAAATGGTCTCCAGCCTTGGGTGGCTGGAAAGGCCCAGCAGGACAAATTCTGTCACGATGGTTTCATTGGCCCCTTTCATTTTTTAAAGTTCTCTTTTATTCTCAGGCATTCTGAAGAAAACAGAGCACAAGTGATTTGTTATTTTAGTGCCATCAATGATTATGCATTTCTCATGATTATATTCCCATTGTATAACTGTAAACCTATGATTGAATACCAGAACATATTTTAATATTTAAGACCTTGACCCATTTTCCAATAGATAGATAGTAAATAATATGAACAAATAGTTCTCGAAGAAATATTTCAAACTATAACAACCATATGGAAGCAAGAAGGAGCCAAGATGGTGGAGTGTTACAAAGCAGTATGGTAAGATCCCATCCACAAACCCCTCCAAACAGATCTAACGAATGCACCAGACCAAAATTCAGAAAAAGTCACAATGAGTCCTTTGTCCAACCCAAGTTGGCACAGTGACACAGATAAGGAGGTCTGTGGACATTGGAGACAGAGTCAAGACAGGACCCCATCATGGGAGCACTTTAACAACTTCGAAAAATCCACTGATCACTGCCAGAAACTCTATAATGAAATACCTTGAAAGAAGTTATGTTCCAAGGCAAGAAGATTTCGGAGATCCATACTGAGACAGCCTCAGATCTGTACTAGAGCACCACAAGGAGGACGGGTGCCATCGAGTAGTTCTGGGTCACAGACTCAGGGTAGACTGAGAAGGATACCTACATCTAAGTCTAAGAAGTTTCAGGGCTCTGGGTAGGGAGGCTTTCTGATAAAGGAGGAAGTTCGGAAATCAGAAACTTGTAGCTCATCCTTCAGCGCAATAATCAGGGCAGGAACCCCAAATGAAACAGAAAGCCTACAATTCTGCCTCTCAGAACCAAAAGACCTTTCTACCTGGCTGACAGGGGTGGCATACATCAGCAACCTACTCTTGAGCAGGCTGAACCCAGGTCAAGAAGTTGCAAAGCTCAGGCAGCAGGAGAAACAGGACAGCAAAGAGATTTTGAACTTTATTAGAGCACTTTGTGAGCAGTGAAAGTTGCCTGTCCCTGATCCTGGAATAAAGAAAATTCAAAATCTTAAGAAAAAAGCACCAGGACCAGCCCAAACCTTTCCTCCAGACATATGCTAGAATGCAGTCCTAACATCATCAGAAGTCAGGAAGCAGATTGTAAGAATGGGCAAACAAAGAACTCTACTATGATGCGTTATTATGGTGGTGGGGATGCTTTAGACACAAACATACAAACTCTGTCTGAAAAAACATTGGTTTGGGACCCTCTCTCTCCTTACTGGTGGAGATAAAGGCCATGGGGACAGAGTTGGCAAGAGAGTGGGAGAATTCCAGACTTCTTCAGTCCTCTTGGGGACTTCTCAAGCTCCAAATATTCTCCAGGACTCTTCAAGCTCCAAGTTTTCTTTCAGGTTTCAGTCAATTTGGGCACTTCCGCCTTTAAGAAGGATTGAAGAGGTCAATCTCACTTCAGGTTACTGAAGGAAAATACTGTGAGAAGACATGAGAGTCTCTATCGTGTCCTATTCTGACTTGCTACATGAGACTTCAATGGGGAATTTACTCTTGAGTGAGATCCAGGTGAAATGAGTTCTCTCATTCCTAATAGGAATATTTCTTCATTCTGTATTGTCTGGCATATGTCGTATATATTGTGCATACATTCTCTGATTTCTGTTTTGTTACCAAATTGGATGATTGGGTTTTCTTTGCTATTTGCTAAGCATTCATTGTGGAACTGGCTTTTGGTGGGGAAGAGGTCAAGCCTTGGAAATAGAGCTTAGGTCCTTCTTTCCGCCAGTAATAACAATGGCAATGATCAAACATTGCTTGAACCTGATTACATCCCCCAGACTAAAAATATTTAAGGGAACAGATACAACTTTAGCCCAATACCTCCTCTCCATAAGGAAAGTAGAGCAACCTCTGGCCCCAACCTCCTGACAAGATTAAAAATCTCCCTTGATGAAGGGTGAAGGGGAGAAGGAGCTAGAGATGTCTATACTGACTCATCTTCAAACCACAAACAACAGCCTTCACCACAGGTGGACCTCTCTACACTTGAGGTCTTCCCTACGCTCATAAAAAGAGAATGACTCCAAAATATCTACAGGCAACACCTCAGAGAAAAATACAGCTTAGTACAACTCAACTAGAATTCCAGAAAGAAATAAAGTAAGAGTTAAAAAGAGTTTAAAACTTTTTATAAATGAAATGAGAGTGCTAGAGGGGAAAAATAGGAAAAGAAATGAGAGCTATCAAAGAAAGAATCAGAAAGAGATTTCACAGCTTGGGACAATAAGTACAAAACTTTGCCCAAGAAACAAATCCCCTGGAAATTAAAATGGACCAAATAAAGCTAATGACCCCATGAGGCAACATGAAATATTAAAACAAAGCCAAAAGACTAAAAAAAATAGAGAAAACTGGAAAGTATCTCATAACAAAAACAACTGACCTGGAAAACAGATCAAGGAAAAAAATTAAGAATCAATGGACAATGGACTGTCTGAATGTCATGATAAAAAAAATAGCCTAAAAATAGAAATCTTAAAGAAAACTTCACAGGTATCTTAAAACCAGAATCCACTGGTCACCTCCAAAAAGAAACTCTACAACAAAAACTCCCAGGACATTTAAAGCCAAAATCCCAGAGCTTCCAGTTCAAAGAGAAAGTACTGCAAGCAGCCAAAAAGAAAGAATTAAAGCACCTGAGAATCCACAATCAAAATCATATATGATTTAGTGGCCACCGCTACAAAAAAGTGGAGAACTTCAGATATGATATTCCAGAAGACTAAGGATATGAGTTTACCAAGAGTAACTTACCCAGTAAAACTGAGTATAATGCTGCAGGGGGGGGGGGGCAATGGGTTTTTAATGAAATAGAGGACTTACAAACATTCCTGATGGATATCAGAGCTGCAAAAAAAAATGAACGTCAGACAAAGGAATGAGGAGAAACATAAAAAGACAAACATCAATGAAAAAAACATAAAGGATTAAACAAGGATAAATTGCTTACATTCAAAGATGAGGAGATCACTCATGTGTTCCCTCTGAATCATCATCAGGGTCCATAGAGGGAGTCCAATTAGACAAGACCTGGGAGTGATACTGTTATGCCTTGTTGATCTTAAGAAAAGAATGAAAAAAGATAAGAGAAATACACTGCAGGGAAGGGTGAGGGAAAAGAAAGTTAAGGAAAATCATCTTGCACCATCAGGGTGCCCAAGTAGACATCTTATACAAACAAGGAAGCAGTAGGGGAAGCAGCTAACATTTGAATCTCTTATCTGAACTGGTCAAAAGAAGGAAGAACACACACACACATAGTTGGGTACAGAAATACATTTCAATCAAAAAGAAAATAGGAAGGAAAGAAAGGGGGAAGAGAAACTTGAATGAGTATAGATTAACAGAGGAATTAGACCTAAACAAAGCAAACTTAAGCATGTACAAAAACATTTATAACATTTTATGAGGTGGCAAAGAATGGGAATATTATAGAAAGCCCATAAATTGGGGAATGAATGATCAAGTTATAGCATATAAATGTGATGGAATACTATTGTGCTCAACTCTTAGGAGCACATAATAGGATTTGAGAGGATTGATGATCCTGATATAATGAGATAAGAAAAAAATGTATTTACATGGTCAATGTATGAATTTATCTTGATTGACATACATGTTTGTAATGGGGTTTTTTTTCTTTTTTTGTAGTTTGATTTACTTGTTTGGGGTTTGGATTTTTGTTGTGTTTTTTTGTTTGTTTGTTTTTTCTTTTGGTAAGTTATTTTTAAACTAAAATACAAAATGAGAAAAGAAAAAAAATTGCTATATACACAGCAGACCGTAAGAGGGGATTCAATATAAAACAGTAAATTTCCGTTTTAAGAAAATCTATATAATAAATACTGCACATTGTTTTCAAAACTGCCCAACTTTTATTTGCTTCTTTTTTGGTTTTCTTTTGTTCTCTGCTGTGCACTTTCTACTTTATTTTTTCCCCTTCCTTTCCTCACCACCCTAAAGAAGGCTACAATTAAGCATGGACATGTATGTATGTATGTATGTATGTATGTATGTATGCATGTATACCTATAAACATGCAAATATATACACATGTATCCCCATACGCATATATGTAAGAATGTACTATGCTTATTTCCTCCTATGATCTGTTTCTCTGAAGGTGAATAGCATCTTCCTTCATAAGCCCAAGTCTTTCCATGTTTTTCTAAACCAACCAGCTCATCATTTCCTACACCACAGCAATATTCCAACCCAATCACATCCTGAGATATTGTCTATGAACTTTTTCCCCCATGGCTACATAGGTTTCATTTGTACAAGAAATTTTTATTTAAAATAATTGAAATTATTCTTTTTACACTTCAACAATGCTCTCACCTCATAATATAGTTTAAGGTCTGATACTGCTGAATCTACTTCCATTACACCTTTTTCCTCTGGTTTCTTTGAAGTTCCTGACCTTATGTTCTTCCAAATGAACTTTGTTATTATTTTTTTCTAACTCAGGAAAAAAAATTATATAATTTAATTTATAAACTAATTATATTAATGTAATAAATTAATAAAATAAAATGAATTATAAAATATTTTAATTGGGATGATATTGCATAAATAGATTAGTTAGGTAAAATTGCCATTTTTTAAATATACTGGCTTTACTTACCCATGAACCATAAATATTACTTCAACTATTTAGATCTGAGTTTATTTGTATAAAAAGTGTTTGGCAGATATATGTTCAGGTATTTTATATTGTTTAGGTATTTTTAATTATCCAAAACAATATTGAATAATATTGCTGACACATAGTGTAGTTTCTCTTTTTCACTTTTGATTAAATCTATTTTAATTTTAACTTTGTCTGAGATCATGATTACTATCCCTGCTTTTTTTACATAGTAAATTCTAGTCCTGCCCTTTATTTCATCTTTATGTGTATCTCACATTCATGTTTCCTGAAAGCAACATATTGTTGAATTCAAATTTTTAATCTGTTATGCTTT